TAAATTTATATCCCAGTCCTGACTTCTCCTGGGGCCTACAATCCCATGTTACTAAGTACTTATTGAATTTCTTCTTCTGGTATCTCTCATAAAATCAAAACTATCTTATTTTCCTTAACATATAAAATGCTTTCACAAATTCAGAAGAGAAAGACAAACACCTATTATTTAAAAACTGGGCAAAGACATGCACAGGCAACTCACATGTAGGTATGCATGTGCACAATATACATATATAGTTGAACAATACAAATAATGGTTAAATGCAAATTAAATGACTTGATGCCATTTTTCAGTGATGCAATTCACAATAGCTAAAAAGCCTCAGAAACTCAGTGTTGGTCTATGTATGGGTAAACAGACACTCTTGTATATTGGTGGTGGAAGTAGACATTTGTACTATTCTCTGTTGAGTGATTTTCGGTGTGTACCACAGTCTTTCAAATGTGTGAGTCCTTGGGCCCAGTGGGCTTCAATTCTAGGAATAATCAGAGATATGTTATTCTGTAAGAACAAGAATTATTGTTTACTAGTATGTTGTTGAAAACTTGGAAGCATGCTAAATGTCTAGCAGTGGAAGATTGGTTAATAAAATCTGTAGAGTCCTACAGTGGAATGCTATGTGACCAATAAAAGTAAAGTTTTAGAAGTATACTTAATATTATGTGGTTGTCTGGCCACTATGCTGTACACCTGAAACTGATATAAAATAATGTTGAATGTCAACTGTAATAGAAAAATAAAATTAAAAAAGAAGTATACTTAATTACCCAAGAAAACATCCACACTATATTGAATATCAGGTTATTAAGTTAGTTTATGAAAAGGATTATACAAAATTATCCCTATTTTGTAAAACAAACAACAACAACAACAAAACCCCACACCATATACAAACTGGAGGGAAATACGTGTAAATATTAACAGTGAGTATTTCTGGAGAGTGATATAGGTGATTGTGCTTTCCTCCTTTATAATTTCCCATGTTCTAAAATATCTACAATGAACATTGATTACTTTTATAAAATAAAAAACCTGATCGATGTAATGTCTTTTAGTAGTAGCTTATTTAAAACCAGATTCCTGGCTTCCCTCTTTCTGGCCATGGTCCAAAGGGGTGAATGTTGAACAATGTCATCGATCCAAGCTTCCAGGCTCAGAATACTGCATCCTTAGAGCTTTGATTGCTCCTCACTCCCTCTGCCCACTCATTGAATCTCATCCCTTTAGGACATCTCTCAAATTTGTTCTTCCCTCCTGAGTCTCAAGTTAGATCAGTTCATTTCAGCAAGCATTTATTGTCTCAGTGCCAGTTCAACATTATTGGAGTTATCTGCTAATATGTCTCCTCCTCCTCCTCCTCCTCCTCCTCCTCCTCCTCCTCCTCCTCCTCCTCCTCCTCCTCCTCCTCCTTCTCCTTCTCCTCCTTCTTCTTCTTCTTCTTCTTCTTCTTCTTCTTCTTCTTTTCTCTCACTCACTCTCTCCTTCTCTTTCTCTCTCTCTAGCTGTCGCACTACCAAGCTCCAACAAAAGAAATAAGCGACTGCTGGAATGATCTTTCAAAAAAACTACAGATTAGTAAGCGGCAAAAGCTCATGCTCTTGAGAAGGAATTACGAGAACATGCATCTTCTGACTGTTCTTTTCCAGCACTGTGCCAGGTAATAGGTGGGCACATATGAGGTGCTTGGTCAGTCTCTGACAATAAAGTAAATCTTTAAGAATAAGGTATTGCCCTAACCGGTTTGGCTCAGTGGATAGAGCGTCAGCCTACGGACTGAAAGGTCCCAGGTTCGATTCCGGTCAAGGGCATGTACCTTGGTTGTAGGCAACATCCCCAGTACGGGGTGTGCAGGAGGCAGCTGATCGATGTTTCTCTCTCATGGATGTTTCTAACTCGATCCCTCTCCCTTCCTCTCTGTAAAAATCAATAAAATATATTTTTTAAAAAAAGAATAAGGTATGGCCCTGGCTGGGGGGTTCAGTGGTTAGAGCATCGACCTGCACACCGAAAGGTCACAGGTTCGATTCCCTATCAAGGGCATATACCTGGGTTGTGGGTTTGAGTCCCGAACCCACTACTGGTTGGGGCGCATGCAGGAGGCAACTGGTCAATGGGTCTCTCTCACACTGATGTTTCTCTCTCTCTCCCTTTCCCCCTCCTCCCTACTCCTCCGCTCTCTCTGAAAAGCAATGGAAAAAATATCCTCATGTGAGGATTAACCAACCAACCAATCAAGCAACAAAACACACACACACACACACACACACACACACACACACACACACGATAAGGTATGGTGTTCTCCTTACTGCCCTCCACTGTCTTCAGTTTGAAAATTTCCTTCCCTTGCCTTTGGCACTTGGACCAGAGGCCTTGGAGCATGGTGCTGCATTTGGAGACAGGAAGAGGCATCCAGGGGCGATGAAATATGGTTCAGAAAATCTCAACTCTGAGTCCCTCCCAGTTTCCGATGCCTGCTATGTAGGAGGCTCCATCGAGAAAGCATATTGGCTCGTAAGCCCTGTCTCCCTGCAGTGTTGAGGACCAAGAATGAACAGTGGGAAACTTAGATCTTTTTGTTTGCTTTAATAAAAAGAATAAGGAGAAAGAGGTGAGGGGGTGTGGAAAGGGGTGAATGTAGAACAAGGCCCTGAGTGATGTGGGCCACTCAGGAAACCCAGCTGTCTTCAGGTGCCCCACTGGGACCCAGAATACTCCAGCCTGGATTGAATGATGGCAGATGGTTGTGTTCCAAGAATACTCTACTGGGACCGTGTATGGGGTGAGATGTGTGAGGGTAATGAACTTGCCAGGTGGCAGTCACTGGCACCTAGCCCTGTCTCTCACTCTTGGAGTATCTGATGGCACCAATGGGAGTGGGATCCCAAGCTGGGTGAAGGGGCTATCTGGGAACCAGTTCTGACAATGTCAGCCTCTGTGAGGCTTCCCCACCAAGGCAGCCCATCCATCATAGGGTGAAGTGTACCCTTATGGACCCAGTCTTAAAGCAGGTCCAGTCCAGGCTAAGAGCTGCCTGCTAACAGCCTGGGATGTTGGCACAGGCCTCCTGGCACTAACCATGTCCTTCTTGGATTACTCTTGGCACCCTTCTGGTTATGGAAATCTTAGTGTAGCCCCACACAACAGAACCTCTGACTGCTTACCTAGCCCCCAACCCCTCTTGTCTAGCTTAGCTGTCTCCAGCTTTCCTTCTCCTCTCTTTTCCCCTCCCTTGCTGCCCGGATTGGCAGTTAACACTAATTTTTTTTTTTTTAGTACATGCAGGCCCCTTTTGTCCTCCCCGCTGGCTCCTTGGAAGCCTGCCCCAGTTTGAGGTTCTCCTTGTTTTGTAAAACCTTTAACAGTAAGAAGCAAAGGCCCTCTGCTTTCCAGAGCTGCAAATGGCTTGGCTGATCCTGATGGAGACAAGGGGACCAGAGGAAGCAAGGAGGTCTCTCTCTCTCTCTCTCTCTCTCTCTCTCTCTCTCTCTCTGTCTCTCTCTCTACCAGTGTGCTGTAGTATCACATGTCATTTGGGATGTCTGAGTGGAAGGATAACCTTCCAGTGAAATCAGAACAACAGCTACTGTGGATAGATGCTTACTGCGTGCTTACCCCAGGCTCAGTGCTTGAGGAGTATTATCCTATCTAATCTTCGCACCAGTCCTATGAGGTAGTAACTACTAGTTCCTGATTTTACAGATGGGGACACGTTGAGAAGTTAAGTAACTTGTCCAAGTTTAGAAGGTGGAGGAGGTGGGGCTCCTGCCTGAATTCAAAGCTTAGTCTCTTTTTCCCCCACTTAAAACATTTTTCAATTACAGTTTACATTCAATATTATTCTGTATTAGTTTCAGATATACAGCAAAGTGGTTAGAAAATCATGTACTTTACAGAGTGTCCCCTCCCCCCCCCCCCGATGCTTCAAGTACCCACCTGGCCCCACACAGAGTTATCACAGTATTATTGACTATATTCCCCATGCTGTAATCTACATCTCTAACTATTTTACAATTACCAATCTGTACTGTTTAATCCCTTCACCTTTTCACCCAGCTGTCAGTCTGTTCTCTGAATCTATGAGTCTATTTCTACTTTATTTTGTTCATTAGATTTCATATATAAGTGAGATCACGTAATACTTGTTTTTTTCTGTCTCAAAAGGTATGACTTCATTCATTTTTATGGCTGAATAGTATTCTTTGTGTTTATGTACCACAGCTTTTTTAATCCACTCATTTATTTTTATGTATTTTTAAAAAATATATTTTATTGATTTTTTACAGAGAGGAAGGGAGAGGGATAGAGTTAGAAACATCGATGAGAGAGAAACATTGATCAGCTGCCTCCTGCACGCCCCCTACTGGGGATGTGCCTGCAACCAAGGTACATGCCCTTGATCAGAATCGAACCTGGGACCCTTTGGTCCACAGGCCAACGCTCTATCCACTGAGCCAAACCAGTCAGGGCTAACTCATTTATTGATGGGCATTCGGGTTATTTCCATATTTTATCAAAGCTTAGTCTCTTAACCTCTACATGGTACCACCATTGTAGATCCCCAAAATGCCCTAGAGAGAGGAGTAATTAAAATCCCTTTGTAATATTTACTGAACATGTATGCACGTACCAGGCATTGTTCTAAGTTTGTTACATGTGTGAGCACATTTGAGTCTCCCAATCACATGTAAGATAAGTAATATTATCTCATATGACAGACGGAGAAGGAAGTGGAGTTTCTGAGAGGTTATCCAGCTTGTAAGTGAGTTGAGAATTTAACCACGTTTGTGAACCTCTGGAGCCAGCGGTCTCATCTCCTGCCCCTGCCCTCCCACCCCTTATAAGCACCTCTGTAGTTTGCTTTGCCTGGAACTATGGTGACAGGAGCCTGGGCGGATGTTACTTCCTAACACATATATTATTTGGATGGAGAAGTGAGGCCCAGATTGCTTGTGAGCACATTTTCATTTTCTCCCCTCCCTCCCCTTCCAAATTAGGGTGAAGGTTGCCGAACTCTCCCCCTGGCTGGACACGTGGGGTTTGACAGCTTGCCGGACCAGTTGGTGAATAAGTCAGTCAGCCAGGGCTTCTGCTTCAACATCATGTGTGTGGGTGAGTATTTTCACAGCAGAAAATTCTATTACAGAATTTAGATACGTAATAGCTGGATGTGGCTTTGCAGGTAATTAGGTTAAATAGTATGTCATTCTGATCTACTTGCAAGAGTGTCCCTCCCCCTGCTTTCTTCTTTTATCCTCTGCTTGTTTTTTTTTAAACACCTGGCTGTAATGACATTTTCCGCTGGTCAGACGAGAATATGGGGTCATACTTTGAGGGAAAGTGAGCTGTGCGATACCCTGTGGAAATTTTGCAAGAGAGCTTGCTGGCTCAGCTATTGCTGTCAGGTTTGTTTTGACTGCAGAAAATGGGAGCCACGGCAGAATGGGGATGGAGGTAATGGCTGCAGAAAGATGCATACAGCTGCTGGGTAGTGGGTTGGGTCCGTCTGTTTCCTCTGCAGCCCTGCGATGCTTGCTACAGTTGGAACTCAAATGCAGGGACCACATAGCTTTGTGCAAAGTTCTTTTATTCCCTTTAAGTATATCTCTGCCTGGACCTGTAGTCTCAAATGTGGAAAACCACATCTTAGTCACCTCTGATATGCTAATCTCTGCACACAGAGTTCAATAATGTTTATGAAAGGAATGAATGAGTAAAGCCCACAGGATCCACTTATTATGCTTCTCAAACACTCCCACATTAGCAATGTGGGTCCTTAATGGGGCTTTGTGAAGTGAGCAGAGTGAGTAGCATTCATATCCTCATTGAACAGATGGAGACCCAGAAGCTTGGGAGGATAAGGACTTACTTGAGGCAACACAGAATAAGTGGCAGAGCGAGGACAAGGACCCACGTCTAGCTGACCCATTGTCCCGCCTTCTACTTCTCTAACTGCTGCTAGCAACATGTCCTGAGAACACAAAAGCATTTTAAAAACTCAAGCACCAACCAAATATGAGGAACAAAAGTTCCTTGACATTCTTTAAGAATCTCTCCTTAGACCTTAAAAAATCCCAAATTTGCAAACACGATCATAGCATATAATTTTCACTACACAGTGCAGTAGAGCATACCTACATATTTTCATTGACCTACTTCCAAACCTTAATAATTGTATAATACCATAATAAAGTCCGTTTTCATGCTGGTTGAAACACTCAAATACCTCTGGTAATTGCCTTTTCTTATTCTTGTATCGAGCTTATGGGGAACTCATTCATGTTGAGGATCATGTTGAGCCACTCTTGAATTGGATATTTTACTCTTTAATGTAAAGTTTTCTAACCAAGGTCATTCATTTTCTTCTCCTCCATCCCCAGCACTCTTCCATATCACTTTCTATAGGAGAATAACTGCACACTCAAAGGCAAGTGGAGTACAACAAAGTCACTTCTAAATATGGACGGCAGGCAGTCAGCTAGGCTCACTCACTAGCTTAATGCCTCCCTCCCACACACCAGCTTTGGAACCTATGAAATGAAAATAAGTGCTTCACAAATTTCAGATCATGGGTCTTAGAGTCTAGATCTAGGCTGTTAATTCATCAAATGCCAGAAATTCTCTGATGGTTATGATTAATTGCTATTAGGAGAAGGATACAACATAAATAGAAGTCACGGTGATTGACATCAAGATGAAATGCTATCACATGTAATATGAGGGCTGCCAGATCTCTCCAATCTTTGGCCGATGGCCAACTTATTTTACATAATATTTGATTACCAAAAATTTCCACACAAACATACTAGATTCTCTTGGCATTCCTCCCAGAGCTTTGTATGACCTGTACTGAAGTTGAGGAGATGAGAAGTGAAATGACATACCCACACCAAGCAACCTTTCAACCAATTGGGTGGGCTAGTAAAGCTTCAGGAGGGAGGCCATGTAAACAAGAATAGCTCTCTGAGGGCAGACGTGTGGGGTAATTGGACATGTGGGTCACAGGCTCCCCAACGGCCCAGAGGAAGAGGCAGCCAAGGTCATGGCAAACAAGTGGGAGAAATAGTAAACCCCTGTCCTTGAGTTCCAGCCTAGGCATTGTACAACTGTGAATGCTTCAGCGTGCACCTGCTGGGCTAGCCTTGCTTAACTGCCTGGGACAGACCCTCAAAGAGGGGTGGGGTAGGAAGGACACATTCATCCCCAAGCAGTCACCCTGTCTCTTTCTTTCCCCTAATGTCAAGTTTCATAAAATGGCTGCCCTAATAGCTCCCCTCTTAGCCCTGCAGGTGCAACCATTCAATGAACCAGCCTGGACTAAGTTAATTTCATTCTTCATCCTTGATGCAAAAAAGCCTTCAACTCATGCATTCTGTTCTCTGACTGTGCTTGCGACCCTGTCATTGCTCAGAGAACCCACAATTTGGGCCAAGGTCACAAGCAGCTAAGAGTGGCTCCACGGCTGCAATCTCAGCTCAGCCATGGGGCTCGGTGCTGTTGCTGACTTGGCGAAGGGTTTGCAGCTTAGCTGCTGAAGGTGGTCTTTTCTCTCACAGGACTCAGTGACCATGCTTTCACGCCTGCCTACCGCCTGTGCATAACTGACAGGTTTACTCCCTTAATGACTGTTTGGGCATAGAATATGTTCCCCCAAAGGATTTCTTTTCTTTTCTAATAAGGCAGTTTAAGTGTAAAATTATGGTAGCACTAGCTTCTATTATTAACAGAGACCCAGGGTATTTTTAGCACAGTATTTATTTATCTTGGTGCTGGGCTGCTGAACAGAGGCCCAAGCCCAGCAGAGTGGGTACCCGTCATGTGCATGTGTGCATGTGTGTATAATGAGATTGGAAGAGATAATTTTTATGAATCCAGAGCTCAATTTATATGTCAGAATACCAATAAATGGCACCTTCAATGATTATTTTTTTAGAGGGCTAAGCATATGGGTGTGAGCATATTAAAACTCCTCCTAGCCCTGTCCAGTTTTGCTCAGTGGATAGAGCGTCGGCCTGCGGACCAAATGGTCCCGGGTTTGATTCCGGTCAAGGGCACATACCTTGGTTGCAGGCTCCTCCCTGGCCTCGGCCCTGGTTGGGGTTTGTGCAGGAGGCAACCAACCGATGTGTTTCTCTCACATGGATGTTTCTCTCTGTCTTTTCCTCTCTCTTCCACTCTCCCTAAAAATCAATGGAAAAATAACCTCAGGTGAGGATTAACAACAACAACAACAAAAAGAGACTCCTCCTCAACAAATTCTCTAGGGTTGATAATAATTATTGATTATGTTCCCCTCTCCTAATAAAAAATGTCTACTGGTTGCTTAGCTTTGCAAATTGCTAGGATCCCATGATCCTAGACATAGTGCAGGAGGCCTCAGAGGAGCCGCCAGAGACAGCGGTACAAATGTTCTGCTGGGAAAGAGCCCCAAAACGACTCAGCCCTCCGAATGTGCCAGCAACAGTAATGCCTGCGAGGAGCGCAGAGAGTCATAACGATAATATTTACTTTGAAGCTGCTCAGGATTCCAGTCACAACTGGAGTCTGTCGAACTTGGAAAAAAGTATACAAGAGAAGCAGGATTGAGGTTCACTAAAGGAGGAGGGGAAGGGCAGCTAGCATTCTCTCAAGGTCAGGGGTCAATTGGGAAAGACAAGTTGCCAGCAGCGGTGTGCTCGTCAGTGTTTCACCATCTGTGCTCAGGAGAAAACTGCCATGGTGTGCAGCATTTGCCGATTTCCGTTGTGTCATTATTCCCACCATAGCTGTTTTTTTTTTTTTTCTGCCAACCTGTCGTCACTGCACATGGGCTTGGGAAGAGCTGCAGGAAGCTGGGCAAGCTGGCTCCTGCACAGCAGTTTGCTCTGCCAGATCAGGAAGGAGAAAAAATCAAGGTCACCAAGCCAGGCATGACCTTGTCCCTGTCCACAGGCTCCCTTGGCCAACTGGAGTTCCTGGAGAGCTTCCTTTTGGACTCCTCCCTTTTGAACTCAGGGATGTTTCTCTTGGTTTATTCCATCATTTGGTGCTGGAAGAAACTTTAGTTCCATGTGACTGAGCTCTATGTGAACAGGGATTGGGGCTCTCTTGTCCATTGCTGTATTCCCCAGCCCCTAAAACGGTGCCTGGCTCCTATTAGAGGCTTTGTAAATATTTGCTCAATGACCGAATGAGCCAACATATCATACCTATGGGATGCACTAGAGCATATTGGTTATAAGCATGGGCTCCAAGTTCAAACTGCCTCAATTCACATGCTGACTCTGCCACTTACTACTTTGTAACCCTGGGCCAGTTACTTCATTTACATTATACAGATGAGGAAGGTCAGGTGCAGAGAGGCTGAGAACAGGGGCAAATGCACATCGCTAGGAAGTGGCTTGGTTAACTCATCTGTAAATTAAGGACAGATAGTAATATCTACTTCATAGACTCATTTGGGGGATTAAATAAGAAAATACGAAATATTTACAGCAGTGCCTGGCACATAGTAAGTGCTCCATAAATGATAGCTGTTATTACTACTCTAACCTGATCGTTTTATGGAGAAGGAGACTGAGGCCCAGAGAGGGGAAAGGGCTCCATTCAGGCCACACATTCATTTAGTGATGACATGGCTGGGGCTCTGCATTTCATCACTGGCAAGGACTTCATTGCACAGGTGCCAGAGGATACAAATACTAGCAGCAGATGGAGAAAAGGGCTACAGTTTTTTTTTTTTACATTTAAAAGATTAATTTGTGAGAGACCTCAATCATTGCCCCAATCAGGGATCAAACCTGAAACATGGGTATGTGCCCTGACTGGGAATTGAACCTGCCACCCATTGGTGTATACAACAACGCTCCAACCAATGAAGCCACAGCGGCCAGGGCTGTTACAGTGGTTTTTAACTCAGCATGCAGAGGTCAACATTGGACTATCCCAGGGAGTATAGTTTGAAAAAGCATATTTCATAGTATGTGGGGGTTTTTTGTTTGTTTATTTTTTAAAAAATCTAGTGTTTCCAGAATACTATCTGCAGTGACTTGAAATCCTCCTGCTGATGGTGATGACTTTAAAAGGGTTAAACTCTGCTCGGTTATGAGGAGGGAGGAGGAGAGAGAAATTGACCCCTAGGGACTCCTCAGGTTTCCTACTGGAATCTAACTGCCAAGCCCCACCTTCCTGCAGGGGTGTGGAATATGCTGACCTGATCTGAATTTGGCCACATGTGCCCTCCCTCCCACTCAATACTGGGCCGGGGCAGCATGGGAGGGGACATCTTCCTAGGCTCAGGCTGAGGCTGTACCAGCCATTGAGAGAGAGGGCCTACTCTATCCACCCCCAGGCTCCACATTGATGGGAAAGCTGGAATGGGGGCACTCAATAGCCACGGGACGAGCTCACTTGATTTTCTGTCCTCTTCTCATATTGCGTTTATCACGATTCCCTAGACACCCATGGGTTCTTTTCTTCCAGACATTCGTCCTTGGGCATACAGTTTCCACAGCCCTTTTGTGCTGGCAGGCATTCGGGTGGTCATTTTCCCTGCTGCCACTCCCTGCTGCCCTGCCCTGCCTGCAGGCCTCTATTTCTTCAGCTGTGCAAACAGGGTGGGCCCCTCACCCTGTAGTCCTGGTCCTGAGGCCTGTGTGAGCTGAGCTAGGCACTCTCTGGAGTACAGGAAGCTATCCCCTTCCCTGCTCTCTGAGAATCCTTTGGATCAGAGAGCCAGGGAGCCAGCTCCGGGTGTTGGGGAGGCAGGACCCACCACTCTTTAGTTGTTGCCAGGCATTGAACAAAGAGCTCACGGAACAGAAGACGGGGTGGAGATGGGAATGTACAAAGCCAGGCTAAAATGTAGTTTGAACCTCAGTACCCAAAGGGAAGGCGAGTTAGGGAGTGGGAGCCACCCTGTGTTTCCACCTCAGAGGTGCTGGCCCCATTTGCAGTTAGCTGCTCCCCACCCTTGGGCGGGGAGGGGGTGATACATTCCGTTGCTTAGCCAAGTCTGTCACCTCCCATTGCAAAGGCCTCACCTCACCACATTTTTCTTGGGACTCAAATGCTTCCTGTTTCTTTGGGGAGGAACAAAGGGGCCTCTTCTGGGAGAATCTTTGCTGCTAATAGGTATAGCAGACCCTGGGTGGAAATATGATCTGTGTGAGGAACCATTTTCCTGCACCCTGACAATCAACCCCATTAGTCAGGCCTGGCTATGGAATTGGGCTGGGGGGTCGGGTAGCTGGCTGAATTGAATGTTCTCCTTGTTCTCTCTCTCTCTCTCTCTCTCTCTCTGTCTCTCTCTCTCTCTCATCTCTCCACACACAGAAGCTCTCATCAACAGATATTTTAAAAAGCACCTCTTGCATTCATAGTTGGGAGAAAAGAGGCATGGAAGATCCAAAGCTAGACGCACCCAGAGGGTGGAGGGGAGATGGACCATTTGCAATTAGGCAGCCCTAACCCTAGTCCTGGACTGCCTTGCAGATACTAGTATGTGCTGTCAGTCACAGGGGGGATTTGCCAGGTCAGGATTTTCACAGTGTAAACCTGCTCTTGGCTATAAAGACAGTCAACGCTCACATCTCAGTGGTTGGGAGGGAGAGGGAAGAAGAAGGGTGATGATAGCAGAATGGCAGGGTAGTCTAGGTAGTCAAAGGCAATCCAAGGTAATTAACTACTGAATCTTGTATTCCTGAATTGCTTGGGGCAGGGACCCAAAAACAGTCTGGACTCAAAGAGACTGTAAACAGCTATAATACCCAGCCCAGCTTGTGGCTTAACATCTGGCCTAACTCCCATGCCACCAGCTTCCCTCCAATGTCTCATTCCCTGAACACTCCTTGGCTTATGGCAGTGGCTTGAGTCCCTTAGGTCTTCCAGAAATAGCCTCCCAAACCTTCAGCAGTCCCCATAGCTCTTCCCCCACTTGTTTCTTTGGTGTGAAAGTCAAGACTTTGAAATTTCAATGGCTTAATTTATTAGTACCCTGCAGCCTGTTAGTTAAACAAACAAATGACTGGTTTGTTTGAAATTTAAGGGGAAGAATACTTTGTGGCCTGCTAAATTCCCTCCCCATTAGCTGAAAATAGTCCCACTGACTGCTCAACCCCCTGGGAGGAGAAGCCGAAGGCCACACAGTCTCCCCACTGGGACACACATTCATTCAGGCATCGGCAGAGCACTCTGGTCCTGGCAGGGAGGTGACATGGGGACTGAGGGGATATTTATTTGATGAGAGGATGCTGTACCTTTCTTTTAAAATTTAAAATAAGCTTTTAATTTTTATTACTAAAGCTATACATGTTCCTCACAGAAAGTTTGGAAAGTAGAGAAAAGCATAAAGAAAGAAATGAAAACCACATATAACCCCACCACTCATACATACCCATTGGTAAGAATATATTGTATTTCCTTCCAGTCTTTTTCTAGACATAACTCTACCTCTCCATCATTGCCTAGAACAGTTTCTTTTTCTATAAAACAATGTGTACTCAATTTTCACATAACAAAAAAATGAGGAATAAAAGGAAAATTACTCCAATTGCAATATCCTGAGATGACTACTGCTAATATGTTGATGCAGTTCCTTTCAGTTTTTTCACTTAATTGAGATCAAACAGTCCACTTAGTGTCTTATCATGTACACTTTCCCATGTCAATGAATATGCATCCAAAACATGATGTGGAATGGCTTCACAGTCACTATGTGAATGGACCATAATTTATCCTTTTGCTTTTCAGGAGAGACAGGTTTGGGCAAGTCTACCCTCATGGACACCCTGTTCAACACTAAGTTCGAGGGGGAGCCAGCCACCCACACACAGCCAGGTGTCCAGCTTCGGTCCAATACCTATGACCTCCAGGAGAGCCACGTGGGGCTAAAGCTCACAATTGTTAGCACGGTGGGCTTTGGGGACCAGATCAACAAGGAGGACAGGTAAGGACGGCGGTGGGGTGGGAGGCTGGTGGGAGGCCATGGGAAATAGCTCACCACAACAGTCTTGAGAGACCACAGATGTCATGGTCCAGCCTAGATATCTTCTCAGAATGGTATAGGCAGGCAGCAGATCCCTCATAAGTGCCACCTCCACCCAGGGTCCCTGTGTACAGCAACTTTTCTACTCTACACATTTTGCCAAAAGAAGGGTGTCTTTCTAGTATGCATGGGTGAGGTCTCCATTCCATTCAGCAGACATTTACTGAGCTCCCATCTTGTGTCAGGTACTTCTGTGCTCTGACAATCTGAAAAGGAATGACCTTGTCTTTGCCCTTGAGGCACTCACGGGGAAGGCTGGTTTTAAACAAATCAGTTCAATTGAGTGATATGCTCTGTCAAGAACAGGGTACAAGGAGGTAAAGGACAAATTACAATGAGAACCCAAAGGAGAGAACAGTCAATTCCATGTGGGGAGGTCAGGGAAGCCTTCACATAGGAGGTGTCCCTGTGCTGACCCTTGAAGAATGAATTGTTTTGCCAGACGGCTAAGGGCAGGGAGGGAAGGGCATTCCAGGCAAGGGTAACTGCTTGTACAAAGGCAGAGATGTAGAAGATTATGGTATATTCTAGGAAACTGAAGCTTGCTCTCTTTGCCAGACCAGAGGCAGAGCTACTGTGAAGTTAATGAAACTTAAGCTTCAGGGCCCTCACTTACACAGTCCCCTTTCAAGGCCATGTAACTCATTTTTAGTCATAATATTATATTATCTTTCTTGGAGGGCCCTTCAAATCATATAAGCTTAAGACTCCACAACAAACAAACAAACCCGAGTCTGCCCCTGAGCTAGTGCTGGGATAAGCTGGGAAAAGTAAAGGAGATGAGCCTGAAGAAGTAGCAGGTGCCAAGTCCTAGAGGGATTTATAGAACTGCCTATGTGGAGCCATTGAATGGCTTTTAGAATAGAATGATGTCATCTGATTGGCCTTTGAAGAAGGTACTTTGAGATAAACTGGAGAGTAGAAAGATCAATTAGGAGACTACTAGCCCAATTGCACTAGGCCAGAGTTATATCAGGTGCTGAGATAGGATGAGGGGACAGATTTCCGGCTTTGAAGAGTAGACAAATGGTGGCAGAATTCAGTAAGAGAGGATACGCTTTTAAAGGAATCACTTCTGTTTTGGACATGTTGAGTTTGAGTTGTCTGTGGACCATGAAGACACTTGATGACCTTCAGTGGTATGCAGCTGAATATACAGGGTTAGAGGTCAGGAAAGGGTCTAGACCGGAAATAGAGATTTGGGTTAACAAGGTATGGGTGATATGTCCTAACTGCAGACGCATGTAAGATGACTTAGGGATCAGAGTTGAGCGAGATGAACATTAGGCTAAAGATGAAAACCTTAGGCTATTAAGTGAGCAGATGGAGGAAAAGACATCCTAAAAAAGACAGTTCAGGAATAAGCAGAGAGATAGGAGGAGGTCTGAGGTATTTCTAATGGTGTGTGAACGAGGGGTGGGGAGAGCTCAGAGATGAGGATGTGATGTGGGCTAGGGCCAGGAATGGGGTGGGGGTCAGGCACCATCTGCATTTAACTGGAAGTTACATGGTTATCACATGTGCTCATCCCAGACAAGGCCATTTATCATTTTGAGCAGTCTCTGTTCATTCTTTCAGGATTCTATTTCTCCTATTTCTTCAAGTTACAACAGCCATTCTTATTTCCTTACAAGGAATATATATAAAATATATGTTTATTGATTCCAGATAGGAAGGGAGAGGGAGAAAGAGATAGAAACATCAATGATGAGAGAGACTCATTGATTGGCTGCCTCCTACACGCCCCACACTGGGGATTGAGCCCACAACCCAGGTTTGTGCCCTGACCGGGAATTGAATCGTGACCTCCTGGTTCATAGGTCGACGCTCAACCACTGAGCTACACCGGCTGGGCTGAATAAATATATTTAGTTTCTTAAAAATTGAACTGCTTTCTGTTTTCCATTTAAAATTCTAAACAAAGGACATCTCTGCTTTTTATAGGCTTGTTTTTAGTGCTAATCTTATTTGGTTGAGAATGAATTAGACGCTCTGGAACGGGGATATTCAGGTCACAATACGAATGCTTAATCTCAGCTGCACATCGCTCAAGTTCTCCGTTAAATTTCTTTCAGTTCTCAGTAACATACATTCAGCAGATCTAACATTGGAAAACGCCTTGATGGTGGTTTGGGAGGACTGAACTGATACAACACCTTAGAGCAGGGGTGGGCAAACTTTTTTGACTCGAGGGCCACAATGGGTTCTTAAACTGGACCGGAGGGCCGGAACAAAAGCATGGATGGAGTGTTTGCATGAACTAATATAAATTCAAAGTAAACATCATTACATAAAAGGGTACGGTCTTTTTTTTTTTTTAGTTTTATTCATTTCAAACGGGCCGGATCCGGCCCACGGGCCGTAGTTTGCCCACGGCTGCCTTAGAAGCTAATCTACTCCCATTATATTTGTATCATCCTAATTGTATTTCCTGATTATAAATATGATACATACTTATACAAAATCGAATACGGTGGTCCCCCTGATCTGTGGTTTCATTTTCTGTGGTTTCGGCTGCCTGCAGTCAACCATGATTTGAAAATATTAAATCGAAAATTCCAGAAATAAACAATTCATACGTTTTAAATTGCACACCGTCAGAGTAGTATGGTGGAATCTTGCATCATTCCACTCTGTCCTGCCCATGATCACATCATCCCTTTGTTCAGGGTAGCTGTCTATGCTACCCTCCCATTAGTCACTTAGTAGCCATCTCAGTGATCAAATGGACTCTCTTGGTATGGCAGTGTTTGTGTTCAAGTAATCCTTATTTTACTTAATAATGGCCCCAAAGCACAAGAGTAGTGATGCTGGCAATTTGGATATGCCAAAGAGAAGCTGTAAAGTGCTTCCTTTAAGTGAAAAGGTGAGTACAGTATATACAGTACAGTAAGATATTTTGAGAGAGAGAGAGGACATCACTTTCACAAAACTTTTATTTCAGTATATTGTAATAATTGTTCTGTTATTAGTTACTGTTGTTAATCTCTTACTGTGCCTGATTTATAAATTACACTTTATCACAGGTATGTATGTAGAGAAGAAAACACAGTATACATAGGGTTCAGTGCTATCTGTGGTTTCAGGCATCCACTGGGAGTTTTGGAACGTATTCCCTATGGATAAGGGGGGACTCCTGCAATAGAAACTAAAATAAGTAGAAACGACCCTGGCCGGCATGGCTCAGTGATTGAGCATCAACCTATGAACCAGGAGGTCACCGTTTCATTCCCGCTCAGGGCACATGCTCAGGTTGGGGACTCTATCCCCAGTGTGGGCATGCAGGAGGCAGCCAATCAATGATTCTCTCTTATCATTGAGCCTCTCTCTCTCTCTCTCTCTCTCTCTCTCAATAAAAATATATTTTAAAAATAAGTAGAAATGAAAAGCCTCCCTGAAACGGCTGGAGAGCAGAGGTGGAGTAAACTCCAGGGATTTGTAATTAAAAAACCCCAATGTTTTCTCCATATAGATAGGGCCATTTGGGCATAGAGATGTCAGTGCAACTACATGGAAACAGAGCATCCAAATGCCTGCTTTACTCAGGGTGCACGGATAAACAGGGACAGTGATGAATGCCATCATTTATTTTTCCTGGAAAAAGTCACCATTAAAAAGATTCTGGAGCCGAAACTGGTTTGGCTCAGTGGATAGAGCGTCGGCCTGCGGACTGAAGGGTCCCAGGTTCGATTTCGGTCACGGGCATGTACCTGGGTTGCTGGCACATCCCCAGTAAGAGATGTCCAGGAGGCAGCTGATCTATGTTTTTCTCTCATCGATGTTTCTAACTCTCTATCTCTCTCCCTTCCTCTCTGTAAAAAATCAATAAAATATATTTTAAAAAAAAGATTCTGGAGCAAAGGGAACCCAAGAGGAAGACAGAAGGACTGGCTGGAGAGGGGCATAGGCTTAGGAATTTAGGCTTTCAGACAGACCTGGGTTCAAATCTCATTTTGCCACTAATTAGCCCAGGGATTTTGGACAAGTGTTTTGTGCCAGCTCCAGTGGTGTTGTGGCCAGATAGGCCCCAGTGATTCTTACTGTGATTGGAAGACCCTCTGCATTAACCACTGGGAAACTTTGGGTGTGTGTGTGTGGGAGGTTTATTACTCACAGGTCCTGGAAAGCACAGGGCATACTGGCCACACTGTGAGAAAGAGAGGGAGCACATGAGCCTGGGATTCTGTTTTGATTGAGGTTGAGGGTTTGGGGCTAAGGTTTTGTCGGATCAGTCTTTACTGGTGATTTTAAAACATAGGAGCAGGAATTTAAAGTGGGGGAAGAGCCCTAGCCAGTTTGGCTCAGTGGATCGAGCGTCAGCCTGCGGACTGAAGGGTCCCAAGTTCTATTCCGTCAAGGGCACTACCTCAGTTGCAGGCTGCCGGCCCTGGTTGGGGGCATGCGGCAGACAACCAACTGATGTGTCTCTCTCACATCGGTGTTTCTCTTTGTCTCTCCCTCTCCCTTCCACTCTCTCTAAAAATCAATGGAAAAATATCTTCGGGTGAGGATTTAAAAATATAATAATAAAATAAAGTGCGGGAAGAGAAAAAAACTAGTGGTCCAAAAGCTCAGTTATGGAAATCAACCAAGATCCCTAAAACAAAGGAGTTTAAGGCAGAGGTGGGGGTAGCCTAGCTCTCCATCTTTAAGTGGCTGGTGATGTGTTTATTCAGATAGCCAACTTTGAAGTGGATGCCTTGGCAATCAAAGCTCAAGTCAGGCACTTGTATTACAAAAGAGAAAAAGAGAACTGTCAGGGCTTACACTACCATAAGACACAAATTCTCTATGCCTCAGTTTTCTCACCTGTAAAGTGAGGGTGATGATAATACTATTATCTACCCTAAAGGGTTGTGGTGAGGCATAGTTGACATGTATGGCATATGAAAAGCTTAAAC